CGTTTGTTGTATGAATACATATGAGTTCAAAAGGTGGAGTATATATGTTGATAAATAACATTTAAAAAGAAAAAAACTACTTCTTCTTTCATTTAGTAAGATGGATGAGTTATGAGTTAGGTAACCAATTGCGTAAGCTCAGTTGGTCACCATCGTATACTTCTATGTAGCAGATCAAAATACATAGCTCAAATCTTTTAGTCTCATAGAACATGCAGAAGCTGATGACCACTTGGTATTTATCTATTGGATAAGGTCTAATAGAATTATGCCCTTATAAATGGAAACGAGATATTTAAGGAAAGTACATTATAGGGCGGACCATTTGTTATTTTCTCAAAATCCTGAACTTTCATTGTCTTCTCTACCTCAAGTTTTTTCTGACTTAAATAGAGAGGCCTTGTAAGAAAGGCCGCTTAGTGTTTTCAAAGAATTTTTTGCAGGAGATGACGAGGAAGAAGGTCCAAGCCACCTTCATATAGCCTAGCCCTTATCATCGAGTTTAGACTATAAGTCACATCTATTTATTGATATAATCAACAATCAGTACTCAATTTAAATAATTTTTTTTATTTATTTATTTATTTATTTATTTATTTATAAATTTATTTATTTATTTATTATTATTATTTTAAATTTTATTGAATTCAGCTAGCCAAGCCTAACTCAACTTTTTTGAGATAAACTTTGAGCTTGGAGTTAAACAAACCAATTCAGCCGAGAGGTCCAACTTGAACAAATTCTTGCTAAATTTAAACAGATCCCTAACCTAGTTGGATGCGCTTGAATTGAAACCCTAAATGCAACCTGAGAGCATCTGCGATTGATTGGCTGTTTGATGTTTTTAGCCCCAGTTTGATAAACATTTTGGGCTAAATAATCACATATGAACAAAAAAAAATCAAAAAAGTTAAAAAGCCAACAAAAAAGTTTGTCTTTCCAAAGCCAAAAAGTTAAAAAAGCCAAATAAGAAAATCAAACAAACAAAAAAATCTCGGACTAAAAAAGTTTAAAAGTCAAAGTCATTGCCAAATGAACCCAGTTAAATTGACTTGACTATTTTGTAAAACTCTACTTAAAGAGTTTCATTAGAGATTACTTCTGAAAAAAATGAAAAAGAGCTAGTTAAAAATTTTGTGTCAAGTTTAGCTTGAAGTTTAACAAAATCATTTTTTCCACATTAATAAATCAAATCATGATCCCAAAACACTTCAAAGTCATTAAGGTGTAGCTCAATAGTCTTGTAGCCATACCTTAAGGTGTGGTAAGTGAGAGGTCAGGGATTCGAACTAATGGGGTATCGACGAACTCTTCAGTTATAATTTTAATTATACTAATATATCAACGCTATATTTGACCCAAAAAGACAAAAAGATCCCAAAATACTTCTTGTGAATAGATTCAATAGCCAAAAATTGATATGAAAATTGATGGTGTCACAGCGAGGGTTTGGCTTCTTTCAAGTTGGCTATCTCAACTTAAGAGAGCCTTTAAGCTTGGTAGTCTCATTTTGGGACAATTTCGGTGATTCAAACCGTTCATTTTTTAGGACTTGTTAAGTAGAATATTCATGTAAAAAATCAGGAAGATCGGATATCGATAGCTATATGCTTTAATCAAATTTGTATTACAAAAAATGGATGGCTATTCTTGAAGTTATATTTGTTGTCTGTTATTTTAAAATAAATATGATTCACACGTATAACTACCAATGTCTAATCATTTTGATTTTTTGCATGAATATTCTATTTAACCAATTTTAAAATGTGAACAATTCAAATCACTGAAATCAATCTACAAATAGACCTACTAAATTCAAACGCTCTCTCAAATTAAAACGTTTTTAATGTTTGGTTGCCACGTTTCAAATTATGTGTTAGTGGTGGCGGTGATACTATGGTGTCATCGATAAGATTTCAATCTAAAACTTCTATCCAAAAATAGTTTTCACAATGCAAAAGGGAAAATTGTTTTTGCCTAAATAAACTTAATATTTTCATTAATCACAATTTTTTTTTTTTTTTTTTTTTTTTGTATTGACGTTTTATTTTTTTAGTATACCAAGTTCTAAAAATTATTCGTCCTCCAGACAAACTGACCATTACCAATCTTTAACAGTTGATATGCGTTGCTGTCTTTGAACAGAAATAGCCTCACAGTTGAGATGCGTTGCTGTCTCTAGCCTAAGAAATAAAGTAAGGGAAATTTGTACATAAGTTTTAATTTATAAATTTATATTTCATTAAGTTTTAATTAAGATTTTTTAAACTTTCAAGTCCCATTACATTTTTAATAGTTAGTATTATCCTTTAAAAAATTATTGTTCATTATTTATGATTATCTATGATGAATATGATGATTTGACATTTATTTTGATTTTTAAAACTTTAAAATATCAACTTTCAAATTGAAAAAAACAAAAAAAAAATTATGAAAAAAAAAATTAATATGTTTTTTTGAAAAAATTGAAAAAATTAAATTATTTTTTGTGCAAAACTGAAAATTGTGTCTATAAAGGAACATGATGTTGGAACATTAATGCGAAAAACTGGAAAAAAAAAAAAAAAAAAAAGCTGTAAAAATGAAAAAACTGATAATATTCTCAATTTTAAAATTAGAAAAAACTGATAATCGATTTTATTGGATAGTTGAATCAAACCAATAAATAGGACAAAAACGTTTAATCTCATGCTATGTTTTTTTTCATCAGTTCGTAAAACAATTATATGAAATATTACTATGCAAAATTGATAATGTTCTTAGTTTTAAAAATTGGAAAAAATTGATAATATTCTCAATTTTACTAAATAGAACTTATTGATTCAAAAACTCTTAAATATGACCTCAACTACCATAATCTTTGTAAATATGATTTTTAAGTAATTAACTCTAAATTAAATAAACTATTAATAAATCCAAGCGATTTTTTCTTAAATTCGAGCAGTGTTTTTGTAGGCTTTTACTCCCATTTAATTGGAGAATCGAGTTGATTATAGAAACATGAGTTTAATTTGTTGATTATTAGTAAATATGGAAAAATATGTATTTAGAATTGACTTTTATAGTGTGGTTTTTGTTGATTTTTTTTTTTGTTGTTTTTAATAAATTTTTAATTTTTTTATTTATAAATCTTATTCTTTTTAGTTCTATTATATTCAATTAGATGGATCAGAAAGTAAGTAAAAAAAAAGGGGGTAAATTACATTGATATCTTCTAAGATTTGGTCTAATTATATTTCACCCGTTGACATTTTGAAAATTACATTCTCACCCTTGTGATTAATAGTCTCATTTTACAAACCTCCGCTTATATAAAAAGACAACAACTCTTAATAGAAAAATAGAAGAAATCACATTAAAAAAAAAAGTAACGCAAAGGAAAGGGAAAAAAAAAGAAAAGAAAAAAAAAAAAAGAGGAAGTAAAACAAAGAAAGGAAAGAGAGAGTGTATGAGTTTAATATTTTCATTCCGTCTAAATAATTACAATGACAGGGGAGTTAGTGTAATATCTCAAACGTTAGAAGATGATATGTATTAAATCTAAACCTTAAAGAGTGTAAGTGTAATTTACAAAAAAAAAAAAAAAAAAAAAAAGGAAGAAAAGTCCACTAAATTTTTTTAAGAAAATAAAAACTTTTTTGGATTTTTATTTGTCTTTCGTGAACTTATTTAAATATTATTTAGTGTTTTTAAAAAAGACTTTTTAGATCCATCTACATTATATTATAAGGACCTAAAAAATAAAAATTCTAATTAAGTGATCACTATTTTATATCACATCTTATATGAATACTTATAATTGTTTCATTTATTTACAAATAATTATTACTCAGTTGATAACAATTAGTATTATGTGAGTTAAATTTTTGACCTTTTTGCTTTTTGACTATTTTAATTTAGGATTAAAAAGTCTTGTTTTGGATGAATTTTTTGATTTTTTAACTTTTGTGAAAGAAAAAAATGAAATGATTATAATTTAGATGTGATATTTTATTTTATATATTTTTTGGTCTATCTTATCTTTTTGTAGCTATTTAGCCCAAACCCTTTATGCCAACAAAGCCTTATTCACATTTCTCTCGTTTCTTTTTCTATCAGCTTCTATATTTCTTTTTGTGTGTATCTTAATATAATTTTATTTCTATATTTTATGATAGCTTATGACTATTTTTTAAACCATGATGATCATCATACATAAAATTAAATTAATAACAATAAAGATAATAATTAATTAATTTGAGCTTATATTTAAATATCTTATCATCAAATAAAAATTAAATTAAATTGAATTGTAATTTTTATTAATATTTCAATTCAATAATGACTGTTACGAGTCAAAATCTTGTAAATTACTGAACATTTTTCGATGAATTTAAAACTATGTTTTGTTTCGTATATTCTTCAATATAACAATATTTAACTTTTATAGTACCTATTTTCGGCATCGAAATGTGGGATATAAGCTAGGGGTACAACTCGAGTGGGTTCGGTCAGGTTGGGAGGTTGTTCAAGCTCAGCCCAAGTTGTGCTGAGGCTTACACAGGCCCGAATTGTAACCCGAGGTTGCCTATCCAAGTCCGACACCGAGTTAAACCCAAATTGCCTGAATTGTAAATGAATTTTAGTTTTTTTTTTCAACTACATTATTAAATTATTAAAATTTGACTCTATTTATATTTTTTTTATATAGAAAATTATTAATACCACCAAAACAAATAATTTATATAATGTAAGAGAGATGCTGCTACAGTAATCCTTACAATTTGTGAGTGAAAATAATAAAATAAAAAAAAAATAAGATTTTATGTTATTCGTATATATATATGTATATATGTATTTTATTATTCGTAAGAGAGATTTTATCTTATTCTTTTTTTATTATTCTAATTTTTTTGCGTTGGGTTGTGTTTGCTTGAAAAATAATTTTTTTGCGATGTGTTATTATTCTAATTTTTCAAGCAAACACAACGCAAAAAAACCATACCTGTAAACCACAGAGGAAAGCAAAAGTGCTTGAATTAATGTTATTGATTATAATCGTTCTCTTCTTGACAACCCAAAAAAACAAATAGAAAGGATTGATAATCCTTCACTTAACACATATATAATAAGTTATGTACATAATAACTTATTATAAAGATCATCATATCCTCAATATTACAATAATTAATAATAAGTATATAAACTTCAAAGCCGAGACATAGCCAGAATTTGTTCATGAGGTTGATCTCTGTACGGGCCACCCGGTTGTTCTCTCTTAACATGGCCCGATTTCTTGGTGGGTTGATCTGTTACGACAAATGACTTTGCCAATTCCCTCAATTCGAATTTTTGAATTTTTCCAGTCCCAGTCTTGGGTAGCTGATTCATGATCATGACTTTCTTGGGCATCATGAATCCGGCGAGGTTTTTCCGGCAATGCGCCAAGACATCGGCCTCGGTGGAGGAGGAGTCCTTTTGAAGGGTGACAAAGGCGCAGGGGCTCTCCCCCCACTTGGGATGCGGCATTGCCACCACTGCAGCCTCGAGCACGCAGGGATGGCGGTAAAGCACGGATTCCAATTCTACGCTGCTGATGTTTTCGCCTCCTGAGATGATGACGTCCTTGGAACGGTCCTTGATTTCGAGGTAGCCGTCCGGGTGGATAACCCCGACGTCGCCGGTGACGAACCATCCCTTGTGGAAGGCCTTGGAGGTTGCGATTTGGTCCTTGAAGTAACCTTTCATGATTCCACTCCCCCGGAGGACGATTTCGCCCATGGTTTTGCCGTCGCGTGGCATGCTCTGCATCGTCTTCAGGTCTTTGACGTCCACATCTTCAAGAGTCAGGACGCTAACCCCCTGTCGCGCTTTCAGTTTTGACTGAGCCTGCCGCGGCAGGCTATTCCACTTGGCCTGCCACTCGCACACCAGGGCAGGCCCTGTGGCCTCTGTCAGACCATACGCATGGACAACGTGGAACCCCAGGGCCTCCATTTTCTCCAATAGTGCAGCCGGCGGCGGTGCCCCTCCCGTCAGGATCTGGACTGGGGTGCTGATTTTGCGGCGCTCCTGTGGCTTGGCCTCCAGGAGGATGTTGAACACTATTGGCGCGCAACACATGTGGGTCACGTTGTGGACTGCTATGTTGTTATACATCTCGTGGGCCGTCGTGTTGCGTATGCACACGTTGGTCCCACCTCTTGCGGCTACTCCCCACGTGAACGTCCAACCGTTGCAGTGGAACATGGGGAGCGACCATAGATAAACGGGCTCACTCCCCATTTCCCATCCCAGAATCAGGCTAAGAGTGCTTAGGTAAGCACCTCTGTGGCTGTAAACAACTCCCTTGGGGGCCGAGGTTGTCCCGGACGTGTAGTTCAGGGCTATCGGGTCCCATTCATCCTCGATCTCGTCTGGAACGAACCTCGGATTCCCGTTCTGGACTAGCTGTTCATATTCAAGCTCACCTAGACGGACACCGGTGGGTGAGTCAACGTCGTCGATGACAATGACCAGTGGCATGGATAATTCGGCTGCAACCGCACAAGTCTGCAAGTCGGCCATCAGTAGCCGGAGGGCGTCACGGGCCAAGGGGACATACTCGTAGTCCACGAAGAAGACCTTGGCTTCGGAGTGCTTGAGAATGGTGGCTATGTTTTTAGCATCTAGCCTGGTGTTGATGGTGTTGAGCACTGCACCAGCCATGGGCACTGCAAAATGCATCTCATACATTGCTGGAGTGTTTGGAGCCAGCACTGACACCTGTATGGTACAAACCAACCATATCACTAACTTGCCCACTAGAGAGGAAGGATCCTCTACAATTTTTTTTTTTTAAATTTTCTAGAGTGGTGCATTGTGTGGTTGAGATTTAATGACAAATCACATCAATTTTTTAACATTAAATCTCAACCACACAATACATCACTTTAGAAAATTTTAGGAAAAAAACACTCTAGAGGATCCTCATAGCCCACTAGAACCCCCAAAAAAAAAAAACAAAAAAACAAAACGTGATTTACCAACAAAAGGGGTATTTTTAAAATTATGTGGTACAATAATATAATATTTTGATTTGAAATAAAAACAGGGTACATCATATCATATATATCACGATGAGTGTTTGAAAATGAGAAATGGTATAGTTATCATTTTTTATTTCTTATTTTTATCATCATTATGTATCATAGATTACAAAAATCTTCGTCGTGAATTTTTTTTATTCGAAAATAATTGTTAAAAAAGAACAACAAATACAAATAATTTGAAGCAAACGGGATATGGAAATAAGACATACAACATTGTTCTTGAAAATGTTGAGGGAGCGGAGAGAGGAGGCAATGCGAAGGCAACGGTCATAGGTTTGGCGCCACGTGAACCGGGTTCCGGCGTATATTATGGAGGTCCGGTTGGCATAAACCGCCGAGGCTCTCCTCAAGAAAGTGAGAGGAGTGAGTGGCACATAATTTGCTTCACATTTTGGTAGTCTCTCCATTGTAGTTTGATCTTTTTTTTTGGCTGGGTTGCTCTAAGAGTTTGCTAATATGGGTTAGACAGAGAGAGAGAGATGGGTGGAGGAGTGTATGATTGACGTGAAGGACATGGAGAGAGGAGATATATATAGAGAGAGAGGAAGCTTGGTGGTGCTTATAGCCCATAGGGTGATGGCCATGGGAATGGGGCCAATGCCACGTTATATTTAAATATATTTTAAACTATAAAAATTACACCAATGATCTTCTAGAGTGTTTTTTTCCTAAAGTTTCCTAAAGTGGTGTATTGTGTGGTTGAGATTTAATGCTGAAAAATTGATGTGACTTGTCATTAAATCTCAACCACACAATGCACCACTCTAAGAAACTTTAGGGAAAAAAAACTCTAATCATATGTATAAATATATAATTTTTTTAAGAAAAATAATATATAAGTTTATTTTTTTAAATTCAGTAATATGTTAAAAAAATAATTGGTTAATAATTAAAAATATTTAATTATCAACCAATCATGTTCTTAACATATCATTTTAATTATCAACCAATTATTTTTTTAACATATCATTAAATTTAGAAAGTAAGTCTAAGGGTTCGTTTGGAAATTATGTTGACTTTTTAGCTTTTTTAGCTATTTTAACCTAGAGTTAAAAAGTCTCGTTTGTGAAGGACTTTTGAATTTTTTATAAGAGAAAAAATGTAATGATTATGGGTTAGATGTGATGTTTTGTCTTAATAAGCAAAAATCTATTTTATTTTTTGTGACTAAAATAACTAAAAAAAACCCTAAATTTGACTTCTCAAACGAAACTTAATTTTTGAATCTAAATAGCAATTCCCTTTTCTTAAAGAGTAATAATATATAGATAGAAAATGTATATAAAATGTGGTGTTTATTAACAAAAGACCATTGTTATATCATTATTGTAGATAATGTCAGTGCAAAAATTATCAAAAAATAGCATTTTGTATTTCAAAGCCAGATCCTATCAACAGTTTTTCTTTTTCTTTTTCTTTTTCTTTTTTCAAAACCTTATATATTTATATATATTATGTATTTTATTTTATATTTAATTTTTGTGTCCATAATCCAACTGCATTATTTTAGTGGGAAGGAGAGGAAAAGTTGGGTGGAAGTTAGTAGGGAAGTTGCATTGATATTTACACACCTATGGCTTTAATTTTGGAGTTTGAATAAGGCTTTTTGACTGGAAAATTAAAGTCCGAAACAAGTGTGTGGGTTTTCACACTATGGGCTGCTTTGACTTCACCCACTAACATTTTATAATCTCCACCTCTACTTTTGTTTTTGTGAAACCATTGCAAAACAAAATTTGGGTAGTTATACTAATATTCAGAGTATCTCCGCCTATTCTTTTTTGAATTTATTTCGAACAAACATTGGGTGGTTATATGCGTATGCATTAAGGGCATGTTTGATTAGGTAAATTAGAGTATAAGATTGAGATTATTAATTCGTGAGCTCAATTATCCTATATTTGTTTTAATATTTTGGTTTAGGATTATTAATCTAATGGATAATTAATCCAACAAATTTGTAGGATTATTAGTAATGGGGTAAGGGTGAGATTATTAATCCAATGAATAATTTATCCTATTAATCCAATTGGATAGTGAATACTACACTAATTTGATAGAATTATTAATACCTCACTATTAGTGTTGTGAATCAAACATGACCTAAGAGTGTATTTGTTTTGAAAAATTATTCTATAAGATTGGACTATTAGTTCATCTAGATTAATAGTTTATTGTTTGGTTCAATTTTTTAGCTTCGGATTAACAGTCCCTTCGGACTATTAGTCCCTCATAAGAGGGGATTATTATATTCTAGGGAGAGGAGTGTGATTATTTCTATGGAATTGGTATCGCATGAGACTAATGTGTGAAACGTCTATTTTACCATCATGCTATTACTTAATAAACAATTAGAAAATGATAAAATAGTCTTTTGAACATTTATAAATTATTTTTTTAGTGTTGTTAATTTAAAATTATGTATTAAATAAAAATAAAAATTATAAATTTAATTAAATTAAAAATAATAAATTAAAAATTATGGCCTTATAAATTAATTTTTTTTAGTGTTGTTAAAAATTTAAATTTATATATTAAATGAAATTATTTTTTAAGTGTTGTTAATTTAAAATTATATATTAAATAAAAAATTTTAATTATAAATTTAATTTAATTGAAAATAATAAATTAAAAATTATGACCTTATAAATTACTAAAATTTTTTAGTGATGTTAAATTATAAATTATAAATTATAGATTACAAATTTAAAATTATATATTACAAGGGTAAAATAGTCGTTCGAATATTTATCATTATTCAGTCCATCCAACCAAACATTAGATTCACTAAAAATAGTCCAATCCAACATAGGACACAAATCTAGTCCAACTAAATAGATTGGAGACAATGTATCTCAGAACTAATAGTCCAATAGATTACAATTCTCTCTCATCCAATCCATCCAAACAAGCACTCTCTGACTATTCTATAACCTTTCATTCAAAACGAATCAAAAACTAACCAGGCAAGCTTGCCCTTGGTTTTGAAATATTCATGAAAATATTTTTTGAGAAAAAAAAATAGAAATAACTTCTTTTTTTTTTTTTGATTAATTGTTCAATTTATAAGAAAATTTACGTACAAAAATTATTTAAATCTTCCCTGTATTACTAGTACATTTCACGGAAAGGATTCAAGAAAAGTTTCTTTAAAAGAAATTGTTATAATAAAAGACCCACATTTTTTTGGGGGAGGCAAAGAAAAACAATTTGAATTTTCTTTTCCTTTCCCTTTCCCATGAATTTAACCCAACTTATTTGTCCCGGATAAAATACAAACTTACATATAGACAGCTTTTGAAGTCTAACATTGTACGGATTTTTAATTTTTCAATCCGAAACCGAACCACGGATTCAAAAAACCAATCCAAACCTACTGGATTGGACTGGACTGGATCGGATTACGAATTTCACGGATTCCTTGCTCAGCCCTACACAATTATGATGTTTCAAACTTTTCACCACATTATACAACAATAGGGATGACAAAAAATCTGATTGCATTTGTTTCAAACTGATTTTAATATAAATAGTTTAAGAGAGCATTAATTAAGTAGGGTAAAGTATAGTGGTAGATATGTCAAAACTATTAAATTTATAGTAAAACCTGAAATTGCGTCACTAAAATAATGAAGTTTAAACGGAAGAATTCGGTCATGAAATCCGAAAAATCCAATCCATTTTCAAGTACATTAGAGATAGGATGACAGAGATTTTAAAACATAGAATTCCTAACCATGCACAAGATCCACAATTCTTAAAATTTTTGTCTTGATGTCCCAATACATTCCCAAATTCTTATATTTTAAAATTCTCATCACAGCATGTAACTAGAGTACATTAGAGATAGGGAAATAAGATTTTTGGGGACGAGTTTAAAAGTAATTTTTTGGCTTTTAATTTTTTTTTAAGTCACATCATCTTTCTATTTTTTTTACATATTTTTTCAAAAAAATAAAAAACGCTAAAAATTAACTTTTAATCTACTTCCTAAAATAACCCAACTTCAAACCCACCACAAAAAAGAACAAGAAAACAGAAAATGCACTGTAATTATATTATCTAACTTTTCCATTTTAAAAGCTAACTTTTCCATTCTAAAAGATACCGCCTTTTTTTTTGGTTTGCTATTATTACGTTTCTTTTGGGGGCAAATTAGAAGTGATGTAATCTGGCTATAGTCTGGCTGATATGAGCAAAGGTCTGATCCTAGCTCATCTGTCGGCTTGACTACACATTCATTTGATTGTGCCTTTGTTGGACTATGCCCAATTCACCCACTACAGTTTTTTTTTTTTTAAAATAAAATAAAATAATTATCAGAGTGTTTTGGTCAAGAAAAAATGGAATAACAAGGTGAGTCTGAGAATGATATCTTTTCCAAGACATTGCCAATAGTTCAACAGTTTCATTGAAATGCATATAACAAGTAACAAGTAAAAGTCTTGTGGAATGGTTGAGGAAATTGAGCAGACCTATTGGGTGTAATTTCCTAGCACTTTGCCAGAAGGCCACACCTTCATTTTTCTTTTCTAGTAAGTTTGCTTCTTGAACAATTTAAGAATAATCAAAGTCTCTTTGTACTATTTTTCTCTTCTACAATGAATAAATGAGACATAAAAAGACAAATGATTTATAGATAGAAATTTCATGTAAATTTTTTAATTATAATTGATGGTGTATATAGAAAGTTAAAGAATAAAAATAAAAATATGAGAAATGTTAAAGAATAACCAAGTCTATCTCACCTATTATGTTTCTTTTCCGTGTTTTTGCAAGGAAAAAATGAGACACTAAAGAAATGGAAATGATTTACGAATAGAAATTTGATGAAGGAAATTCTATTATATTTGATGGTGTCTTGGAACTTATCTAGGTTGTTCAAGTCTTATCACCGGTGTGGTGGAGGCCTCTTTGACAAAGAAGTAAACTTGGAAAAAAGGTTAAAAAATTATGGAAAAAATGAGAAATGAGAAAACAAATTAGAAGAACGACCACGTACTACTTTTCTTTTCCATTTTTCTACAAAGGAAAAGAAACGGGATATTAAAAAAAGAAAGGATTTATGAATAGAAATTTTATGTAAGAAATTTTATTATATTTGATGGTGTCTTGGAACCAAAGTTTTAAAAAGCGGCCGCAATCATTAGGTAATATCGTTATGTAATAATTGTGGTGGTTACCGCTATCTGTTACGGCTGCTATAAGGTATAACGGAAATTCACATGTGTAACAGTCGTTTCGGTGTTACGTAACGGCCGCAGCGGTACCGTAATGGCTGTAACGGTCTGTTAGACACCGTTACACCCTTTTACAATATTCTAAATAGCTTCATTTTCAAAACAAAAAACAAAAGCTTTCAAAAAAAGAACAAATACTCAAGTGATCCAAGTCCAAAGAAAAAAATTTATATGAATTTTTTTTCTTTATAATTTTTTTTTTTCAAAATTTATGGCACAATTTTTATTTTATAATCCTTTCATTTAATAATTGTAAATATTTTTTATTCAGTTAGTTCAA